GAAGGCCCATGCTTTCCACTGAAATATTGGTAATTTATGTAGGCTAAAATTGCTCTTCTTTGTTTTGTTTTTGCACTAAAATTAAGGTATGTGCAGTGTGTATAAGAATTCGTTCATTTTTTTTTTCAAACTATAGTCCGAACCCAACAGTCTGAAGGACGGTGAACTGACCCTCTGCTTAAAAAGTTTGAGAACTTCTAATATATTGCCTCTTTACTTGATCTGTGCGGCATTTCCCCTACTGCATTGTATGCTCAATTTTCTTTCAAGTTAAGCACTGTTTACCTTTTGGGAGAAGACAGAAGCAAAGAAAGCATTGAGTAGTTCTGCCTGTTCTCTATCCCATTATCATTTCACCATCAGCTGTATGCAGAGGCCCTACCAATTCCATGTCCTTGCTTGTGCTACAGACAGGGGCGGCTCAACCCATTACGCAAAGTAAGCATTTGCAGTATAGTTGATTTTGCCCAGGGGCGCTCTTGAGGTGCTCTTGGGGGAAAATAGACCTTGACATATGCGAGTTGTAGTTACTGAGATATATAGTTCACCTACAATCAAAGAGCATTCTGGACTCCACCAATGATGGAATTGAACCAAATATGGCACACAGAACTCCCTCGATGAACAGAAAAAAATGATTGGTTGGGGGGGGGGGGCGCCAAAATACTATTTGCTTACCGTTGAAAATTACGTAGGGCTGCCTCTGGCTACAGACATAACCAAAAAGGATTTTAATTGTTTTTACTCTTTCTACTAAGAGATTGTTCTGCGCTTTGACGTTGCCAACTTTCTCCCTACACATGCTGGCTATTTGTTTGAATTCTTCTTTGGTGATTTCTTCTTTGGTTTTTTGGCAGGAAGCTGCCAAAAAATATCCCAAGGGAAGAGCTGGGCCACAAGTAATGCTTGAAACAGGTAATTGATTACCTCTACTGCTGTCACTTTCTTTTACTTTTTTTTCACCTCTTATGCCTCCAGAGTGCTGGTCTGGGAAATAGAAAAGATACCGAGGCTTCTGGAATAGGTTTGAGACCATCTTTCATGGTTAATGAAATCATCTTCCTTGTCTCAGATCTGTTCCAAATGTGTCATTTTAATTATCCGCACAATGAAACCAATTCTTGCCAAACTGGTTCCAAACTGACCTCAGTGGTGAGCATGGATGATAATAATAATAATAATAATAATAATAATAATAATAATAATAATACTTAAGTTATATACTGCTCTATCTCCCCGAGGGGACTCAGAACGGTTCCCAGGTAAAAATCACAGAACATACTGTTCCGTCTCCCAGGAGCCTGGTTTGCCTTACCTTTCAGCTGCTTAAGGCTGCTTTCTTTTGCATTTTGTCCCAGGGCTGCTGAAGTTTGCAAGAGCCCCAAAGGTTAACAGTTGCAAGTCTGCAAGCCAGTCTGCAGTCCTCCTTTGCAGTTATTGGCCCAGAGAGTAACTTTTGAGCCCGCCCCTTTTACCAGGCCAGACCTCCATTTTGGAGTCCTCCCTGCCTTCAGTTTGGAAAGAAAGTCCTGATGTGCTGGAAGCTATCAAGGAAACCCTAGAGAAAACCATCGCAAGTACTAAACTAAACTGAATAAATTGGGCTGTAGATAAAAGGTTAAATAATTTAGGATAGAAAGGTCAATTAGGCTATAGAGAGAAAGAACTATATATAAACTATAAGTAAATTGGGCCTATAGATAGATAGATAGATAGATAGATAGATAGATAGATAGATAGATAGATAGATAGATAGATAGGCTTAGGGAGCTATAGAGGAGTTTATTGAGCTATAGAAAAGCAACTGAGTTCATAGAATTTTGAGATAGAATTGAGTTATAGATAAAATTTAAGATAGTTCTTAAGCTCCATTTGCCTCATCTTTAAACTAACCCTGGGCTGGAATAGGGAAGGTCTACGCCTTCTATAGATAGTGGTTCAGAGTTAGGGTAAAAATCTCAGGATTTTCTACCATTTGAAGAAAGGCAACTCAGTGACTGGAAAAGAAAGAAAAGAATAGCTATATGGTTTCATCGACTGATTGTCTGTAACTTCGTTAAGCTGAGCCAAGTCTGCAAGGACTTTGTTAATAAATATTCTGTTTGTTCTTCAATACTCAAAGTGGACTTGGTTACTTAGAAAGTTTAAGCCCTTTAAAGAAAGATTCCAGCAGTCCGCTCAAACAAAAGGCAGCACATCATAGTTCCATCTTTAAGGCGTTTGGGTGTGACGGCACACATACAAAGTAAAAACAACAGAGTTGTGCCCCAAGTGAGAGAACAAAGTTGGTCACATTAGTCTACTTCCTCAGATACCTAGGAACAGACCCTTCTATGCAAAATGCATATGGATGCAAAACCTATGGTCATGATGATGAAGCAGTAAGTCCAGTTTAAATAATGGTTATTGGGGAACAAAGATAGTCAGGAGAATATTGCCCAAAGCCAAGATAAGTAGATAACCAGATGAATGGTGGAGGGAATTATTGGAATGTGGTGGGATGTTGGCTGGGAGCCAGAAATGAGATGTAATCAGCTGGCCTCATGAGCATGGGGTGCTAACTAGTGTTATAATATGTGTGGAATGCCAGGAAAGCATTGTCTCTGTTCAGCTACTGCTGATGGACTGGGATTTGTGGATAGATTCCAGTTCCATTGTTTCCCTTTCCAGTTTTTATGCACAAAGTTCTGGGTTCAGGGATGGAATGCACAGAGCAACCGGGGTATTTTGCAACCGGCATTGTGCATTCCCAGTTCTATTTTATGTCAATTTATCTTCTGATATTCCAGCTTAACACAGATCCATCTTTGAATTCTAATCTACTACCACAGCACATTAAACCTGGTCCAGAATCTTGTTGGGAATGTAACACTTTTCAAAATGAATCTAGATGGCAGGAATTAGAAATGGGCAGTTCTATAAGACAATAAAGGATTGCTTTAACATTACTACACAAGGGAGCCAGAACAGTGACTGGTGTGCACCAGTCCCATTGTACATTGGGACATCAGTTAGGAAGTGCCAATATAGATAGATAGATAGATAGATAGATAGATAGATAGATAGATAGATAGATAGATAAGAGAGGGGGGGGATACTCTTGCTGGTGTCCATTTCCACGTATCTGCAGTTCACTAAGAGGGTTTCTTAGTGCCTCTGCTACATAACTAAATATATGGAGAGTTATTTGACATACAGTTAAGTAATTAATTTGCATTCCCAGTTGCTACTTTGTCACAATTGTAACACTATTGCTTCTATTTCAGTAAGTCCTTTAACAAGGTTCCCCATGACATTCTCACAAAGAAGCTCATGATATGTTACTGTTAGGTGGATTGAGAATTGGTGAAATGGACGAACCCAGAGTGCTCACCAATGACGATTCCTCATCCTGAAATGAAGTAAACAAGTGGGGTCTCACAAGGTTCTTTCCTTAGCCCAGTGCTATTCCATTTTATCAATGACTTGGAAGTACATAACAGAAGGCATGCTTATCAAATTTGCAGATGACACCTCATGTGGGGAGGAATAGTTAATACCTCAAATGACAGGAGCTTGAAGACGTGGTTGTTCCAGTGTGCTTTCCCAGAATAATGATCCCATAGCACTTTGTCTTCCAAAGCACTTTATATTGTTTTAGGTCTGCTTGTATGTTTCCACAAACACCCCATCACTTTTTCGCCCATGTTCAGCATTATTTTTAAATTTTAATTACATTTGGCCTACCCATATATTTTAGTGTGTTGTCCTATTGTTAATGCTTATGTTATTGTTTTATTGTCTTGTTTAATTTTAATTGCTTGTACTGTTGTTGTTATTGGTTGTATTGTTGTATTCTGGGCTCGGCCTCATGTAAGCCGCACCGAGTCCCCTGGGGAGATGGTAGAGGGGTATAAATAAAGATTATTATTATTATTATTATTATTATTATTATTATTATTATTATTATGTTTTTGATGAGATGTTTTGATAATGATGTACTGTGGATTATTTTATTTTATGTTTGTATTTTGCACCTGTTTTTCTATGTTGTACACCGCAATGAGTCGCCATTAGGCTGAGAATTGCGGTATATAAGCGAAGTAAATAAATATTATTATTATTATTATTATTATTATTATTATTATTCCACACCCTCCCCATCCAATGACCCTTCACAGAACTTTCCCCAATTACCTCTGCACAGAACATCTGTTGAACCCTGCTAATAGCCAGGGCAGATTATCAGTAGAATCATAGAATCAGAGTTGGAAGATACCTCATGGGCCATCCAGTCCAACCCCCTGCCAAGAAGCAGGAATATTGCATTCAAATCACCCCTGACAGATGGCCATCCAACCTCTGTTTAAAAGCTTCCAAAGAAGGAGCCTCCACCACACTCTGGGGCAGAGAGTTCCACTGGTGAACAGCTCTCACAGTCAGGAAGTTCTTCCTCATGTTCAGATGGAATCTCCTCTCTTGTAGTTTGAAGCCATTGTTTTGCGTCCTAGTCTCCAGGGAAGCAGAAAACAAACTTGCTCCCTCCTCCCTGTGGCTTCCTCTCACATATTTATACATGGTTATCATATCTCCTCTCAGCCTTCTCTTCTTCAGGCTAAACAAGCCCAGCTCCTTAAGCCGCTCCTCATAGTGTTGGGGGTGTGTAGAATTAGACTACTAGAAGAATAACGAGTGTAATTGAATATTACTGCTACGGAGAAGACTCTTTCCTCAAGATGCCTTGAAATGCCCTGTTATAAAATTGCAATGGAAAAGAGGCTTTGGAGGAGAGGCTATGTTTAAGGTAATAATTTGTTCCAAGTAAAGTCTCTTCCTTGCAACTTTTTTCAACAGTACCTTTCAGTACTGTTAACAAAGCATTTCAGAATGAGGAAGCAAATGGATGTGTTTGGTTGTTGAAGATATTTCAATTTTCCAATAACGAGGGCTAGAGACTTCACAAATATGACGAATAAAATGTATAATTTGCTCATAAAAGAAATATAATCAGAGAACATAAGTACAAATGATGTTTTTATTGACATTGTAAGAAACATTTTCTCATTACAAAAGTGGTTCTGAAAGCCTAAGTACAGTTGATATGTACACAGTGCTACAGACCCTTAAGGGTGATCTAAGGCTCAAAGAACATCAGATCATAAATGCAGGTTGATCAAATGAAGACCACAATGGTCTCTTACATCTGAACACTAGTTCTACTGAATGTAAATGTATTTACACATTTTTTTTAAAAAAAGAGATTACACTTTTTATAAAAGTTAAAAAAAAGCTGAGGTGAAAAAAATGAACATGTGTTTTTATCTTACATGTCTGCAAACTTGACAACAGTGAACTTTCCCAAAGAGGACATTCAGTTCCTACATGTACAATGACATGTAAATGTCCAATATACACTAGACAATATTCAGACCATCTTATTAACAGTGGTATGTGCTATTATATAAGCATAGCCTTATAAAGTTTGGCACTGTTTCTTCATGTTTCCTCCCTCTTTTAACCAGATCATTTCAAAATAAGGCACATCCATTGCAGGAATAAACACTGTTTTTTTGTTTTGTTTTTCATTTGACAAGTCAAAGTAAACAGATGGTAGGACTGTGACTCATCCAATAGTCTCTTTAACTTACTGAGAAAGAATGAAAAATTCTATACACCTAAAGATCAGAAAGTAACCCTTTAATACCTAGTACCATTATGAAGACAACCCTTAGCAAGAATAGCAATCCAAACAGCAGTACTGATGGTCAAAAACCCATTGTACTGGATTCCATTTCTTTCTGGGATGCTTCTAACTTCCCAAATCTAGCCATGTTTACTGAAATGGTTGTCCTAGCAAGTATGCGTAAAATTGCAAACAATGGCTTTCCTTTTCTACATTCAATTGTACCTTTTGTAGGCAACTGAAAACACAGAGTAACACTGCTGGAAAATGGAGAGGAAATATTTCACGGATGCACCTAGGAACAGTCTTTGTTAAAAATCAATAGGATGACACCCCCTAATTGTTCTGTTGTGCAGCTGTTAACTATTGGGTGACAGTGGTAGAGAAACCATAGATTTACAGTAGCCTTTCTCGGAGCTTTTTGCCTACATGTGCTGGGCTATAGCTACCATCATTTCTGTGATGGCTGGGGATTGATGGTACTATAGTCCAACCCAGCTGGAAGGCACCAGATTGGAAGAGGCTAATTTATAGCTTTGTTCCCTTTTGCTACAATCCAAAACAAAGTCACATAGGTGAGATAGCCCACTGCTTCAATGCATACATTGACACAAATAACTACATGGCATGTTCCAATTATTGTTTTGGTATATCATGTCCATCTCAGCCCTGGAGTGGTGCAATACATGAAAAATGCAATCAAATGTATTTTTTGTAGCTGAAATTCTTAGGGTAGGTAAAATTGCATATAAAACAAAAAGAAAGGGTTGTAAATGGAAATGAATACCTTGGACAGCTTAACTAGATCATGTGCTTCAAAAAGTTCCTGGACAGGGTTAGTCTGAGAAAGAAGTTACCCTCAGTGGTAGGCCCTCATGGAGTGAGTATCTGGAAGATTCTCAGATTTAGTGTCCAACAAGTTTCCAAGAGGAGTCAACATCTTCTCTTGGACTGATTAGGTGGGAAGTGAATCGAGGGTTAACAGCACTCCAGGTGCATTCATACCTACCTCTCTACAGCACTTCCCAAATGAACCCTGGGGAAATTCAGTTAAACTAGCAATTAAATGTGCAAGGTCAAGTATGCAAGGAGGCTTCTTGCAATTTCATTTACTCCAGATCTTGAGGCATGAGGGCCCACAATGTGGCAACTGTATAGTTGGACTTCTAACAATTTAGAAAGTCACCCCCTTGATGCTTACATCTTTAAAGTACCATAATGAATCTTTCCTCCACAGTAGAGGTTCATAAACTAAATATAACTGACCTTCACTAGCATGTGCTGATAGTATGTGCACAAATTTAGTGGGACATCTCCACTATGGACAAAAAACCTTTGAACTGAAGACCTGCATCCAATGATGTTGCTAAATTATTATACATAATTATTATGCATGATCAGTGTTAGTGCAAGAGTGGTATCTAATACACGCTTGGTCATGAAAGCAGCAGTCTAAGAGGTTCTGGAAAGTACAAACAGTTCATAATATCTTTCACAATGGTGTAATCCAGCACAATTGTACTAATGAGGGGTTTTCCTACGCAATATTTAATTGGATTTAGACATAAGGCTACATTCCTCTACTGATGTATTCTCATGTCAGTTTCACTAATAGCTGTCTATGAGTTCACACACATTGCGGGACTCACTTTGTTCTGAAGGCTACAGTGGAATAATGGGGACAGGGTGGAGATCAATTTTGTCAAGTATCAGCTTTTGCAGCTCAATACATTTATCTAAGTACCTTCAGTTAAAACACATATACACAAAAGACATGATTCTAGAGGTGTAGAGGCTGTAAGAATTAGAAAAGAATGTTACGTTTTATATACTGGAGTCAGCTACTACTTTTGACTCAGAATGAAATACAGTATTAATCATTCTAGACTGAATTCAAACTTAGGCATATCTGAGAGTAGATTCACAGAAATAAATCTTGTTTGTCAAGAATAACTTTAAGTACTCAGTAAGTGTACTCAAAGTATGATTAAATCTGGATCCAACCTATTGAACCTAAGAGTGAAACATAATATTCAATTTGAAGTAGCAATTAACACAAGTATATAAAAGAGTAACACATACTGTTTATTAATGTAAACAGCCTTATCCCCATTTTAAAAAAAACATGCCAAAGAGGGACCTGCCTTTCCATGGATAATCTTTATGTCAATGATTGCCAACAATATTATCTGAATTATCAGGAATATTCACTTGGTGGGTTATTTTCAGACACCACAGATCACGTATGGAGGATCACTATATAAATATATTTTCAATGTCCTCAGTTTGAGTAGACAATGCTGCAATTTAAATGCAACGTTTGTGAGCCCTAGGTTGTTTTAGGTTTTTTAGGCTATGTGGCCATGTTCTAGAAGCATTCTCTCTAGCCTGAAAAACCTACAACCACCTAGGGCTCACAAACGTTGCATTTAAATTACAGCATTGTCTACTCAAATTGCAGCATTGTCTACTCAAACTCTCTAGAATGCTTCTAGAACATGGCCATATAGCCTGTTGTATGTTTTTCGGGGCTATATGGCCATATTCTAGAATGCTTCTAGAACATGGCCATATAGCCCAAAAAACCTACAATAACCCAGTGATTCCAGCCACGAAAGCCTTCAACAATATATTTGTGAGACCTTTGGAAAAAAATGAAAATATCATTTCAGGTATCTCATCTGAAAAGGAAAACTATCAGATGGGCTTAAATATAATTGAGGAACATCTTCTGAAATGTGGCCAATGGTTGTAATATTACTGAAACTGTTTAGTTATAGCCAATTCTTATAAAGTCCACCAGCACAAGAAGGTATGGAGATGGGGCCAATGGGGGAATAAAGTCCATGTTATAAAAATCTGAGTTGCAAAGGAATCTCTGGAAAAAATTTTTTGTTTCTCCCATGAATTTATAATTTATCTGTACCATAGATCTGTAAGAAGCATGTGGTTGCCATTAAGATAAGAAGCAGAGAACCATAATCAAACACAAACACTGAAGCGCAACAATTGTAGTTAAGTTTTTTGTTGTGGTGTGCAATAGAACTGGAAAAGGAATGTAAACAGTAGTGGAAAAAAATAGAATGTGAAAAGAAACAAACTGGACCCCAGATGTCAAACCAACTGAGCATACTGGATCTCCAAAATGGAAACAGGTTTGTCATAAAGACATCGTAAACCTTACATGAAGTCTCTTAAGTGTGAGCAACAGTGATATTTAGGCAAATTCTACTAATGTAGAACAACAGAAACACTATCTTGGGGTTGGAACTGGTTCTGGTCTACCAAATGTTGCATCAAATGCTCCATTTACAAGGAAATGCCACTTTAAAAAGAGAAATCACAGCATTCAGTACAAGATACATTTCTACAGCTCACCTTTGTGCTGTGTATCTCTGATATTCTGCATGCTTTGTTTGTCGGATGGGAATTCTTATAGTGCCTTTGCATGTGTTGTTTTGATAGCCTGCATTGCTATTGACTTCCCTATTAAAATGCAAGAGGTGGTTATTTCACTCATGCCTCATTTATATGTGCTTCTCATATGTGCTTCTCATAGTGAATAGTTCAGGCCCCCAACATCAAAATGGTGGGTTTTATATCATTGTGTTGTGCATTTTGTTGCCTTGTTTTGAAAACTCCTAGGAGCGATTCCTTTGTGCTCTTATGTTTGAAGAATGCTGCTGTTTGGCTGAGGAAGGAAGAGGCCTGATTCAGGCTATAGAGCAGAGATGGGAAATATCTCAGTTTGCCTCTTTTTATTTCCACAAAAATGAATGTTCAACTGTGTTCTCACCACACTGAGATTGTTTCATAAGACTATAAGATTATGGCTCAAAGCTATGTTTATTGGACCCTATGGGATCTGTGCTTGCCATTAGATGAAGATTAGAATGGCCTCTTTAAATCTATGTGTCAAACACAATAATCTGAACAAGTCTGCGACTAGGATGCTTTTAAAAAAACTGAGTTGTGTCTTTATATTGACAGAATGTTTGAAGTGCTCTCCCATTTACAATCAAGAACTGTGGAATGTATTATTATAATGATACTTTGGAAAATAAAATCTAGCTGGACATACAGAATGACATCAAGGAAATTTTAAGATTTAGCTCTTTATGAAATGTAGTCTATTTTTTCAATCTAGAATAGTGGTTTCCAACCTGTATTTCAGAGGAATATAGTTGTTTTTCTGGTTCCACATTGAGCACACCATAATGGAAAATAGGATTTCTTAACAGGAGGTTATACATTATCCCTGACCCTCCCCTATAATATGAACCCAATGTGGTTTCAGGTACACTCTCAGTTCATACAGGGAAGGGATACACATCCTTGTCAGCGCCGGGGGGATGTATGTGCTGGCTGTGGGGCTATCCGTGAACATGTTTGCACACAGATGTGCACAAAGTGGTGTGTGAGTATTCACACAAATCATTGAGCTTTTTTCATTGAGGAGTCCTTCTCCTTTGAGGATTCTGATACAACCTGTTTTCACCATGCTGCTAGAGGTGGAAAATAGGTCATGATGTAGAATAGATAGTGGGCTACAGGGAAGCAATAATTTACATTAAAAATTATTTAAGAATTGTATGTTGTTAGAATGTTGGTAAAATAAGTAATATATTGGGATATTTGGGACCATTTTTGAATATTGAAGGTATGCAAATCTTTGAAATTGCTGCATTAGAACAAGATACTAATGGGTAATCTCATACTTGCAAATCATGAATAACAGATCATTCCTTTTTTTTAAAAAAAAAAACTTACATTAACTTACTGCAAAAATATTTCCAACCTGTGGTAACTTACACAGAGGGAGGTATGGGACCCATGAAGAGTTGCACATAAGGCTTGAGGTGACACAACTTTTGTACTACTGATATAGGAGAATGAAAAAACCAACCAGTCAGGACAATACTCTCCATCAACTGTGTGCCCTTGAACAAGTATTTGAACCTTTGCAGTAGAAAGACAATGTGGGAAGAACTCTTTAAAGGTATGAAACAATATGAAATTAAATGGTAGAGAGCAAAAGAAATGATATCTCAAGGCATTCGTACCTTCCCCACCCCTTTTAACATCAATTGTTCACTTTGTTTCAAACTAAATTAATCTTTCCGATGGATTTGCATAGGAGATTTGCTAAGTGGAAGGAACCCCAAATATCAGCTTGGTATCTAGTAATGCTGTGTATACATGTTAGAAACTGAATGTGTAAGAGCTCTGACAACATAATTTCCATTTCCTTTTGAGTAACAGGAAGTTGTAACATTTCATCAGAATTTCTTCAAAAATAAACCCACATGCACATCACAATTTTACATTGGTTTACAATTAAAAAATAAACACATAGAGGAGTTGTACAAACATTAAAAAATAAAGAAGGGAATTGCGGGTGTAACAATACTGATTCAAAACTGAAATGGAAGACAGTTTCTCCCTAGAACACTTTAGGGTTTTTTTTAGTCCTTATTCCATAAAAGGAATATACTTGAAACACATCCCATTTAAGTGAGATGAGACTGCTAAAGTACTTAAAACAACTAAAAAATGACTTTAAAAAATCTTTCACCTTTTAAGTTGTTCATAGCTATTGCATAACAGCAAGAAACTTGCTTTCTTCAGCAAGTGAGGTTAACAAAGAATTCATGTCCCCAATAGCCATGTTGGTTGTGCTTATGGGCATTGCTGGAAATGTAAGAGACGCTCGGGGAGTGGTGAGACGGGAGGAATTGTGGGAGAAATTCTGGGTGATGCTGGGACTTAGGGCTCCTGAAATTAAGCTGGCATGATCACCATCATCTATGATAGCATCGAAATCGATCTGCACGCCTTCAAGGCTGTTGGTATCAATGCTGTCAACAGTGCTTGTCACTTGGTTGGCCCCTGGAGAGAGAAGCTCCGATGAATTTGCATCACTAGTCCCCTGCAGCAAGCAGTTGGCTTCTGAAAGGGGGAAAGCCCCTGTTTTCAAAGCTTGCTGGATAAACCCTGTGGTTTGGTCATACAACTGACCGGAGTAATTCTGTATATTAGAACAGAATTGTTGCGACTGACTTTGGGACTCTACTTTGATGCCATTGACCTTGTGTGGCTGGCTGGCATCCCTACAATGTCCCTGTTGCACTGGATTATTCCTCATTGTGTTTTGCAATCTGCCACAATAGCTCGCAGCACAGGGCTGGTAACCTCTGCCCATCATCAAACCTGAAGGTTGGATCCCAACATTTTCAGACAGTGGCATATAATTCTGTGACCCGTGATGAAGGTTGCGTTGTGAGGGAGCAGTGATCTGCTCTAGCATTGCTTTACTGGAATGGTCTACTTCATGGTAGTGACTGACATCATCTGCTGATTGATGTGGAAAGTACTCCTGGAGGGCCATGTTTCTTCTCTGCATCTTATTCATCACATTGGCAGAGGATTCATCTGAGACCACAGGGCAGCCAAAATTGTGCTGGTTCCCATTAGCTAACATAAAATTGTTTCTCACCTTTTGCCCTTGAACCACCATTTCAGACGTATGGTCCATTGGTTGTCTGCCAGTACTTTCACTATATAGCTGTACCTTACTAGACTGAAAGTGGTAAGAATGACTGGTGTCACCATTATTCATGACCATGTTATGTTGTAAACTACAAGAGCCATTGTTGTCTAGAAGATGCTGGTAGCCATTTTGTTGGGTCACAGTATTTGTTTCCAGCCCATTATTCTGCGACTGGACAACTACGTTATTATAGAAACCAGGGGTTTGATTTTGCTGGATCAGAGATCGCTGCCCACATTTTACTCTTGATGGAGACAATTCAGAACTTCCTGAGCTTACTTCATTCCATTGAATTGGCAGATCATTTTTACTGGTTTCTGGAGGGGCTTGCCCAAAGTTGTTGTTGTTCCCTATTACTGAACCGTGATGTCCTTTGTTGTTATCTAATCCACCATTTGGCAGTTGGTTGTACATTTGATTCTGAGAATTCAGATATTGGACCACATCATCTGGCAGAAGATCTTCATCATTCAAATTGCCATCTGCCTCCATGATAGCGGCCTCCATAGCCACATTTTCAGAGATGCTTGGAGGACAAGGTGAACAGAAGTTGCGAAACAAGCCACCATCAGAGCGGGTGTAGTTTTGAAGGACGAAGTTGCGTTTTTCCACAGAGGGAGCCAAAGCAGGAGGGTTAAAGCTATTGAGGCTGTTGAAACGCTGCACTCTGGGGAAAGAAAGATTCTCAGAGACGAGTCTCACAGGATCACTGGCTCTCCTTGTACCATTCCCCAACACATCATGAGGCAGTAAGTGTCTCCTGCTGTAACCATTGGTCCCACCATCACTACATCTTCGAGGAGAATTAGCAGGGGGCAGTGGTGACATTCCAGATTCGCGGCAGTCACCCAACAGTGCCATTCTCGTTTTCAAGCTCATCCTCTCCATATTAGGTAGTGGTGTTGGTGGAGGTCCACCAGTAGCTGCTGCATATTTTGCTTTCAGCCTGTACTGTTGGGCAGGAGTAAGGCTGAGAAGACCTGGTAAGCCATCACACTGGCTGACTTCGCTAGATCGCCTTGAGGCATCGGTTGAAATGGGGTCATACGAATCAGTCACGCTGATATTATGGAGCCTTCCCTCGCCCTGGGAAGCATTGCTGGATCTCCGACTAGAGAAGCAAGGTGAAATTCCAGAGGACCTACGGCTGCTCATGTAGGCTGAGCTGATTGTGCTGGTATTGCTGTCCCTCCTGTTCAGCATGTTTAACACAGTGATATCAGTGTTTGTGAGTTCGTTTTTGTGGGTTAGAATAGCCATGTTTCCTCCTAGGCTACAGCTGCCGTTTGACTGAGTACCTGTGAAAATATTCCAATAAAAAAGAAAAAATAAATTCGGTCAAATTAAAATTTGATTCTGAGAAATATAAAAATTGTATGGAAAATGTTACAGGCATTTTCAGAAATCACTCTTATACTGCCAGAGCAGACATAGAGCTAAATGCATGTTTAAATGAAGACACACAGATTCATGAATACTGCTCAGGATTCAAACAATAGTCATAATGCAACCCAGAATGAAGTCTGCTTCACTTCATTATTACTGTATTGGCCCAGTCAACAATGTAGTGTAAATCTATGTCTGCACTGTTTTACTTCAAACTCATATTCAGGTATCATGGTCACATGACTGAATATAACAATACTGTTGTATAAAAACAAAACAAGATCTGTACACAAAATTAAAAAAATCAGTTCACAGAGAAAAAAAACATGTTAACAAAAAATAGACTACAACTCTTGTGCCAAATATCTAACTTTCTACATAGAAATATTTCTTTCTATTGAGGAGCATCCTAAACTCTGAGCCATGATTCGCAGTTTCAAGATATATTTCGTGCTCTGATGAGAATGAAGCCTAAAGTACTAGGCTTCATTCTGTGATGCATTATGATGTATTGGGCTTCATTCTGTTATCTCTTGTGAGATTCCACTAGCTCATTCTACGAAATTATGCAGTCTGTTTTAATGCAGAGTTTTAGCAAAAACTTTAGATAAAATCAGACCTTTTGAAATAAAAAAAATAAAAATTGCTAGAGGTCCAATTTGGCAAAGTTTTCAGAGTATCTTAAATAACAATTACATGTTACATGGCAGTCAAAACTGTTGTGTTGGCATCAGCAGTTGTAACAATTATTAATTTACTTTTATGGAGTTCCTTTTATTACAATGAACCTCAGCCAGGAACACCACAGGCATTCTGCATGGATGACTGCAGATGAATAAGTTATGAAACAATGCCAGAAGGAAAAATATTTGGCCGAAATCAAAATCCTCCTATTACAAAATACTGATGAGTCCTCTAGGCCTCAATGTGTTTTTGGTGTGTTTTGCTTCCTAACTCCATTGATGTTTCACATGCACACCTACATATTTTGGAACAAACTCCAGAAACTTGCCCCATCTTCCCTTCTTACTGTTTCACCACTTCAAAACTCTGCTGTGCGCAAAGACTAAAAGAAGTCACCAAATTGAAGAAATCTTAAACTGATTAAGTAGAAATCCTAACTAGGTTAGCTTTAATCATACGATAATTTATATTCCACATTTTCCTTGGAACTGGAACTCAAGACAGCTTGCAATTTTTTTAAAAAAAAATACCCTAAATTGAACGTATTACATAATTGAAACTATTTAAAACAAATCCATTAAAAAATAAAGACCAGCAAAGCAGCACACTATGGAAATCCTTCCAGTCCTCAAACTCTGTCAGAGCACAAAAAAAATCCCCTTGCTAACTGATGGACAGCATGGAGAACAACTGTTTAACTTTTAAAATATTTTTAGATTGCATGTTTTTAATATGATCAACAGTTATTATTGGTTTTAAGGCTGAGGGTTTTTTTTGGGGGGGGGGGGGGGGGGGTTAACTGTTATCTAGCTCCCTTGAGTCCTGTCTTAGGGGAAAAGTGAAAAATGACATAAACAAAGTTAATAATAATAGCCGGGATTTTGTATTCCCTCTCAAATGAAATTAGATCTGCTCCCTCCCTCCTGACTTTAGAAAGCTAGTGAAAACCTGGCTGTGGAACAAAGTCCTTTGCAGAATGATGGTTGATACCAGTAATTGACTAAAGTTAGTGACCACAATATATGGACTGAATATACGGACTGAGTTGGACATGTTTTTATCTTGCCGAACAGCTTTTATGTAATTTTTCTTATATGTATTTGTTAATTTACTGTCAATATATGATGTTTTAGGTTTTTACTGTTAGCATTGAATCCTTGCTGTCAGCCGGTCTGAGTCCTTCTATGGAGGTAGAGAAGATCGGGATATAAAAGTTTTAAATAAATAATAATAACTATTATCAATATCTCCTCTGAAAACCACATACGAACACAGAAACAGATTACATTAAACATCTCACCATTTCCGATGAGAGGTGGCAAGGTTGGGCCTTTGGAAGGTGGCATGAGGTTCAGTCTTGGAAGCGCACCATTGATTTGTTTCAGCCTTTCTAGCTTGACTTGCTCCATCCATTTGGTCTCTGTCATATTCCTCCTGGCCTGTAAGCCAAGTGCTGTGGTTGCTGTTGAAATGGTAGAGTCCATGATAGGGGTTTCATCTATGACACTGAGGTCTCCTACACTACCTCTACTGGTCAGATTAAGCTCGATCCCATGGTTGGAATAGTTGCTGATGGGGGACTGTTCGCTGCTGCATGTAGACTGACCACCAGGGCTTGGCTGAGATGCCTGTTTAGCGGGGGGAGAGACAAAAAGTACAATTAGATTAGAGTATCCCTTGGAAGCATTGGGTTAACAGAAAGGCAGGAAACAATGTGAACAAACAAATAAAGATGATACCTTGCAACAGGGCTGAGAAATAAGAACATGTCATTATTAGAGCACTGACAAAATCAAATTCCTGGTTCATCTAGCCTAGCATATTATCTCTGAAAGAGGCCAATAAAGAATGCTAAGGAAAGGTTATACAATTATACAGGGTAGGAGCAAAGTGGTCTGTCTTATCTCACCCAATTCACTTTAAGCTGCTGGAATCAAAGCTTTCTCTGAAAGAGAATGCATGTGTGATTGGTTCAACACTCCAAAGGAGGAGATATATTGGCATTCCTGGAGTAATATTTCCTTTCCCACATACACTCATTGACACGTGTGGAACAACTACTGAAAATAAAGAAGCCCCAAAATTATATGGCCCAAATGTCTACTCTTGAAAGGAAAACTCTTCAAAATCCTGACTAGGCCAAAAGTAGTTCTTATGATCATTGCATCCATAGTCATTTACATTTGAATGGTAGCCATGTACTATCAACATAAAACATAAAAATATTCAGAAGAAGCCCATTCTTGTGTCAATATTGTCTTCTAAAGTGCTCACTCAAAAGAACAAGCTAGAAGTTAAGAGATTGTATTATTATTAATATCATGCTATCGTCAATATCATGCTATCATCCCGTATTTTCAGGGAACGTCGTTTGGCCACTCTCTAGTTTGAACTGGGAGCTTCTGGGATAAAGGTACTGTCTGGATGGGCCCCAAATGTTTTCAGGACAAGTGGCAACAATCTAAATTCTTCTGTTTTAATGATTGTATATGTGTAGATTTTAACTGTATTGAAATGCTTTTAATGTAAGCCGTTTTGAGTCTCCTTGTGGAGAGAAAATGTGGAATATAAATAAATATTATTATTATTATTATTATTATTATTATTATTATATTCAGAACAGCAAAATAAACATATTTAATCATAAGATTTTCTGATTTTAATTGAGACACAATATATTTTCAGGCTTTTTCCATTATTGCCCATGTTACTCATAGTTTGCATAGAAATCTTCAAGATACTAGGTAAGATATAACATTTCAAACAAAATGAAATAAAATATTTAAACCAGTTGGATCCTCATGAATCAGTTAGATCAGCTATTATATCATGCAAGCTGACCAAAAAGCCACCAAAACGGAAGAGCTAGTTGTTCTTTCAGTTGGAAAATTGCTCACAGCATTCAAAAAATAGAGAATGATCATGGATGTGTATGTAAATGTCATGTAACATTGTCGCTGATCGGGATGGACTTCATGCCATTTTGTTATAAAATGCCCACTTTATGAGCGTCACGAATGCATTCAATGAAATGATTTTTTAAAGTGGCAATGAAGGAACGGTGGAGAAGTGAAAATCATCTCACCTTATTACCCACTGTCCTTAGGAAGTTAGAACAAGTCATTAGATAGAAGAAACAATGAATTAGTACATTACAAAAATTACATGGTAAATCATACAACACGAAGAGAAACACACTGTTAAATGATACACAAATGAGCAATCTGAGTATGTCCTTCAGATTGTGCACTATTTAATGTTATGTATGATCTTAATCTTTTACATTTTTTAAAAGTTACTCCAATCAACTACACTGCTGAAATCTTATTTTTTTGTAGGAAATATTTACTATTAAATCTGAAACATAAAACCTAATCATTCTTAAACATTGCATTTCAGATGCAAGTATGGTGTTTATTAATATGGGAGAGGAGGGAACAATTTACTTTTCCTTTTGATACAGCACCATGTGCTTTGGTGAATCTATATAAATAAATAAAGTGAATTTTACAGGCAGTTATATTGCACATATTATCCACAATCTGCAACTTCATATCGCAAGTCTATGAACTAATTATTTCTGAAGTGCTAAATATGTTAACAGGTCTGTATCAGAACCTGGAAAAGTTACTTTTGGGGTCTCTGGTTCCCCAAATCCCATAGCCTTTGGTGATTCTGGCACTTTTGATCCAACAAGTAGATTTTGATCCAACAAGTAGATCTTTCCTAAGCTCTGAATTGTGTAACTTCAGATGGCAGGTGGAAAGATCATCACAGAACTGAATGTGTATGCCTCAAAAAGATTTTATTTTACATAGTAAAGCAGAAATAAGGAGAAGTCTCATTCTTGCTAGTCACCCATCTGTGGGGATCTTTTCTGTTAGAAAAGCACTTGGTCAGCTCGCACATTCATTCTGAAGTTAAAGTTACACACAGGCTCATTCACTTCAGTGAAAACTGGGACATATAAGTGATCTTCATTATGTCCTCCATTTTTAATTGACATTTATGACATTTAAATTGCCCAGTTTTCTAAAATAATTTAGACCATTTAAGCAAAACTTTTATAAATGCCATCACTAATATAAAAACGCTCAACTAAGGCCAAGTCTCTAAAAAAGTACATTTGCTGGCTCAATAAGTAAGTTGACTTGTAAATTCACCTGGTGCAATGGGTCTTCTCTAGCTGGGATTAACAGTGAGATTTAAATTGAAGATCTAAATCCCTCTAAATCTAAATCCCTCTAAATCTAAATATTTTTGATGTGAATAAATGAAAATTAAACTGAGTTGCCACCAACTAAGAATACAAATCCTGGGGAAAGTTCTCCTGTCCAATTCTTGCTGAAATTGATGGAAATTTCACAAGAGCACAGTGGTGTCCCATCCTTTCTCAGCTTGCCTCTCCAAAGTAACATTTCAATCAGTATTTTGTAGTCACTACAATGGCAACCCAGGTCAACAAATAAGTCTGAACCAACCATCCAGTTCAGTTTCCTGTTTTGGCTGATTACGATCAACCTTATAGAATACTAGGCCAGTTAGATGTAATTTTTACCACATATTGTAAGACTTCATGCTGAAGGAAAACAACCTGAAGGTGTAGTTGCAATACATTTTGCAGTCCTCAACAACCTTTGGACATTAAGAATCTTTTTTAAAGTGTTGCATACCATTGGCTTCTCTGACTTGACAGCTTTGACCTGGAGGCATTCTTCACGCTTTGAGGTAGTGTTGCTGAGGTCTTTTTGCTCCCCAATTGCACCCTGAGTCTGATGGCCGGGGGATCTGCTTTGAGAATGGCTGCCTTGGTCTCGAGGTGGGGGATGACGTGGGTGGATATCTCCACGCTGCTTCTTGGTGACGTGGGCCTCAGGGCCGTGCACAGTCTTTACATGTTTTCGGAGAGAACTAGGATCTGTGTAGCGCTTTGTGCACCCGGGTATTTTGCAGACATAGGGTTTCTGTAAGTGGAAAGAAATGTCCACGTTCATTTGGGATTGATCCCTGGTGAAGTTCATGCCATATAAATGATACATTCAAACTCACAGACACTGAAAAAACTTTTCCAAGAGGCAACTGGTTTTTACCTCATTCGCTTCCTAGAGTGTGAGGACTTAATTATAGACGGTAGTTAATCCCATGGGGCAAAATAAAACTAAATTGGATTACATCCAAATACTTCAACCTGAACTCACTATTTAGTTGGGTTAGGTACTATTTCAAAACCAAATAAATATTTGGCCCTATTTAGTACAGAGCAATCAGTTCTAAGTTACAGACTTCAGCTAAAGTCAGGTTGTGTGTGTGTGTCCCTTTTTCCAAACTATTTCCAACTTTTTCCAAACTATGAAAATTTCACTGAAAATTTCACAATAATTATGCTTTTCCATAAGGCCCAGAAAATAGGAAACAAAATGATATTACTTATGAGAAGATGTTTTTTTTTTAATTTAAATAATCAAGAAAGAACATGAACAATGTTGGATTATCCAGCAGATGTCACTAGAAAACAGCAATCAAATTCTTCTGAGGACTTTTTCCGCCTAAGGAAAGATAGATGGATGTACACGTGGAAAGAGATATATTTTTCTGTAGTTAATCAAGTTGAGCTGGTTAGGCTCAGCTCAACTTGAGCAAGACCTTTGAATCAGTTGCTGAATGGTGAGTCAACATATAGTTAGAGCTCACAATGGGATACACAGTAACATGTATACAGTACTATTTTATGCAAAACTGACATCTTTTATTTTGTTAAGACAAAGATTCAATATCACACACACACAAAAAAAAAACAAATAAATTATCACAACACCCATACCACTCAAACAGTAATATTTGTAAGCATTGGAAAATATGTAAAATGTGATTTAAGTGAAGTAGACTTTTATGTTAGAATTATCTCTTTCAACCCCCCCCCCCCAAAAAAAAAACCAAATCACATTGAGCTAGTCTATCTCTTACACTGATCACACACTTCTGTCAGATTCTGAAGAATTTTGAAAACATTTACATAAATCTTAGACTTCAGACTTATATTTGTGAGTAATAGTCCCCTCAGTTCACTGAAACTGAGCGGAATTTTAAAATGGGTTTGTGGTATGGAATGACACCAAAAGTAAGCAAAAGCTTAAGTTGATCTCAGCCCTTGTTCTAATTTACTCAACCGTATACTATCAAACTGATCTAGCAGTGGTTAAGAGCAATAGGATGAATAGACATAAGAGTGGTATGCGCTTGGTGGCATATGGCTGAATACATCATTTATGAAGGATAGTAGAAGAATGTATACAGTTTCCTTCCATAAACATTTTCCCATTTTCCTCTATGAGAAAGCCAGGAGATTTTGGAGTGCCATGGAGCTAGATCATTGGCTGGCTATAGCTTTGCAGCCAGGCGGAGAGAATAGGCATAATTTACCCCAATCGTCACTAAAAATGCTTTTAATACTTTATAACTCAACAAACTACAACAGTATTACAACAAAAAAAGGACAATTTTCTAAGCAACCACTGTTTTGGGTCCAGTTATAGAAATCTGTACTTACATACCCTTGACACCACTTTTTGATGTCAGGGAGGACACGGGAAAGTGATTGAGCTTGCCACGGAAGAAAGTGGACACATCCTTATACAACCTACTTTATAGTGAACAATTCACATGAAGTTTGCACAGACTGGCACTATCCCATTATTTAAACATAGCATACTGTGACTTTAGATGTGACAAAATATGAAAAATAAATCAAAGAGATTTTTTTCCAAAATAACTTTTTAAAATGTTTTAAAAATAGAATACTATTGTTGAAATGGTTTCTTGTCATATATTTGTAAGAAAAAACATGAACTCTTTAATGCCTTCAAAGCTTCCTTGGTATGTATTTTATGATACATTCTTTTGCCAGGATTATGTCTATAAATGGTGGGGGATTTTTACTATCCATGTGGTTCCTTCCTTACCTCATTGGAATGAGTTCTGTTTTGGTGCTTGGCACGATCAGATGCATTGGAAAATGCTTTGTTGCAGCCCTCATGTTCGCAGACATATGGTTTCTCTCCAGTGTGAGATCTCAAGTGGGTTTTCAAGTTTTCCAGCCTGGAGTAGGCTTTTGTACAACCTTCAAACTGCAAACAACATGTCAATGTGGAGTATTTCAAACACTTGGGATTACAGAAAAGGAGGGGCTGGACTAGAGGGATAAGCAAATGAAACAATACCACATCAAAGGAAAAGCAGGGTTTTTTAGTCATAAAACCAATATGTTCAAGATTTTAACCCCCCCCCCCCCAATTTCCCCTTTGTTTGGACCCACTATAAACTCCAAAAATATGCAAGTAAAATAAAGTCTATCTTGAATATCATTATTTAAGGGAGGGCTGTTAATGAAATTTAAATTTTGCAATCACAAACATACTTACTTGAAAACAGTGAGGCCTACTTCTAAGTAAACTTCCAATGGATCTGGCTGTTAGCCTGTGTGTGTGTGTGTATGAAAGTGCATTCCTTTTTTGCATTTAGTTCAAGCTAAACATCCAGATGGAAAAGGTTATCTAAAAAGCAGTTGATGGGCCTATCTAAACACTGAACCTCCACCCCATTCCAGACTCTGAATTCTTATGGAATTTACTTTTCCAAAATGTGGTGACTGTTACTGACATATACAGAGGTTAAAACGGCCAAAGAAATAGGATTGTTCTATCTTAGCAGCTATCTTTAAAAATACAACTGGTGTAATGAGTATCTGTTGGGGGCATCTATCACTAATCCCAAAATATCTGCATTGATATTCTATCTGATTTGGGTTTGAAATCAAGGTGGTTGTTGTGACTTACAAAGGTCAAAACAACTTGACCTCAGGGATCTGAAAGATCACCTCCTCCAATAAAAATCAGCCAATGTTTTGGGGAGCAGGGAAGAATACCCTACCAACATATTACAATATCTTATTGATTCATGGACATCATTGGTACCCAGCATTGATTTCTTTTTGTAAAAAAAAGCAGGCCACGAATAAAATAGGACATAAAATGCTAAAAAAAACAAAATAATAAATATTGTTGCCTTCCATATATGACTAATTGGAGAGGTGAAGGTGCCATTGCTTTCACACGCTGCTTTAGTACTTCCAGAAGTATCTGACTAGGCATCAACAGAAATGCTAACATAGAGACTTTCTTTTATTTTCTTTTTATGAATGTCTTAGTTACTCACAGTGCATTTGTGTGGCTTTTCTCCTGTGTGCCTCCTCATGTGTACAACCAGCATGTATTGGGCTTTGAATGGCTTCTGCTCTCGGGAACAATCCAGCCATCGACATACAAACTCTTTTTTCTCCCCGTGTATGTGATCATTGTTTATATGCTGTATGGATACAAATAATATTAAAGATAAGTACTTTGAATGTGCTTAAAAACCACATTGAGTATTGATTTGGCAAAACAAAAAACACAATGTAATTTTTATACATGGAATACTGTCTATATAAGTATTTAACAAATGATTACGATTATGCTTTGAGTTTCCACAAAGGATACTCAAATCAGTTTACACTTAAAGCATTTCAATACATTTTAAAATCCACAAATATGCAAACATTAAAAAAATTAAACATCAAATTGACAGTTAAAATTCATAAAACTCCTTATAAACTGACTTAGTCTTCATTTCTTTGGGCAACCTCCAAGGGATTGCAATTATGTGACCCTCAAGGTGTTGTCCTACCATTCCAATGCACTGGCTATACTAGCTAGGATTGGTGGAAGTTACAGATCAGCAGCACCCGATGGGCTATGTAATTCCCATCCCTGTGACTGGATAAGCTTGACTGCTACAGCATAGGCCTCCAGCTCCAGATAAGTGTAGGGGAAATTTCCCTTTAGGGTTCAATGTATAAAGGCTTAGTTGACCAAAGTAACAGGTAATTTAAAAAGAAGCAGCATCAGGTAAAACACACGATGGCTGTCTGATCAGAAAACGAAGTCTAACAAAGCTTACATCATCAATATATAAAACAGGAGCAATGAACTATTGCAAAAGCCTGTGACAATAATAAAAACTAAACAATAATAAACAAGCACCAATTCCAAACTACATGCCAACTCAAACTGATATTGTTCTCTAGAGAATCTGCTCTTGCTTTCCCCCTGAAATTGCTCTTGCTTTCCCCCTGAAATTTCTAAGAGCCGTAGCAAAGCTGATTGGATACTACTATTACAGTTTGAAAATATACAACAATGGATATTATCCTGTAATAATGACATGATTGGATACAAGTTCTAACACACTAGAGAAAATAAGGAAAATAAGGAAAGTGGTAATGCACTTTATTATCATTATGAATCTGGAGGACAAGAAGAGAATTGAAGGCAAGATAATTGTGGCAAGAGTTGTGGCAGTACAACTTCAGACTTTCTTTGGATCAAAGTAATTAGATCCATTATAATCTGGCTTTAGGTCTGGTTATTGGATAGAAACAGTCTTGGTCACTGTGGTGAATGACCTGTGTCAAGAACTGGATATGGGAAGTGTATTCCTCTTGGTTCTGCTGGGCCTTTCGGCCTTTATATTATAAATCATGGCATCTAGCTTGAACATTTGGCATATATTGAGTCTTATGATGCTGTTTCATGGCTGAACATTCCCAAAAGGGCTACTGAGGAATTGCTGTGTGGCATAATAGGCATTATCTTACAGGATCAATGCTGCCCCTTTTAAAATCCACATGAAGCCACTGCAGGCAACCAACCAGTTTGGAAGGAGTTTGGTCTCACATCTGTGTTGATGATACAACATTCTGATTTTCACAACACATGCAAAAGTATCTACGGAAGTTCTGAATCACTGCCTGGTTGCAGTAAGAGATTATGGTGAATACTGAGCTCAGTCCAGAGAAGAAAGAAATTCTGTTAGTTGACAGAAAGGTCACGCTCAGACAGAAATTCCACCCTGTTTTGGATGGGATTACACTCCCTGTAGAAGACCCGGCTATCAATCTGAATGTTTTCTTATACACAGCATTGTTGCTAAAATGCCATATAGGTACTATGGCTAGGAGGGCCTGTTTTGGCTGGAGTGCCTACAACTCTCCCTACGATTGGCCACAGTGATTTATGTGTTTAATTATCTCCTGATGAGATTGATGAAATGGTCTCTACCTGAGGATACCTTTCAAAAGTTTGAAAGTGACAGAAAGCACAAAGTGCCCAGTGACCACATATTGCAGTGGTTTCCAGATTGGTTCCAAGCTTACTTCAAGCTGCTGGTTTGAAGCCTAACTGTCCTGAAGCCAGAATATCTGCAAGATTGCTTCATCCCATATGAGGCTAAAACAGGACATCCTTCTAGGAGGCTTCATTGAAAGTCCCTCAACTCAAAAAGGCTAGCTTGATAAGTGATATTGAAACAACAACAACCAGAAATGGTGAGGAAAGGTCTCTATCAGCAGGTAGGCAGGTGGACTATTAAATTTACTGCTGCTATTTCCCATGCCGGGGTGCATGTGTTTTCAGCAGATGAAGAAAGATTAAGCCTCCCCTGCCCTGTGCTATGCTCCCAAACCTGGTAACACCCACATTTCCTTTGAAAGTTTTTGTAAATGCCTGACATTATTTGAAACAATGCCTTTAATATAATCATTTTCTGCTACAAGTTTTATTACTAGTTCAATTAGGTCTCTCACTATTAACAACAGCCCAGTTTATTTGCCCTCTAAGTTGGCTCAAACAGCTGTCAATGTAATAGGAGGTTACACTGATAGCTGTTTAGACCAAATAGAGCAGGGGTCCTCAAACTTTTTAAACAGAGGGCCAGGTCACAGTCCTCAAATTGTTGGAGGGCAGGATTATAATTTGAAAAAAAATGAATGAATCCCTATGCACACTGCACATACCTTATTTGTAGCACACATAAACACTTAAAAACAATACAATAACTAAAAGGAAGAACAATTTTAACAAATATAAACTTATTAGTATTTCAGTGGGAAGTGTGGTCCTGCTTTTGGCTGATGAGATAGGATTGTTATTGTTGTTGTGTGCTTTCAAGTCATTTCAGACTTAGGTTGACCCTGAGCAAGGGCCGGGTAAATGACCTTGGAGGGTTGTATCCGCCCCCCGGGCCTTAGTTTGAGGACCCCTGCAATAGAGTATCACTTTCCATTCAGTCTGTTTGAGACTCCTTGCCATGTGTTCATTCAGTGAGGACTTTAACAAGCGGTGCAATGCTTTCTCTTTACCAACACACTCAATGTGCAATGCTTTTCTCAGGCTAGGCCAGTCCTTTCAGTTTATAATTTACCAAGTCTGTTCGTTTGTTTAACATAGCCCCCCTCCTCTCTCAAAGAAGCTTTTACTCTGTGTGCATCCAGGTTGATTTAAATAGCTACACATATTTAAACTTGATTTTTTAAATCAGGATTTTTTTTAAAAAAAATATCATTTTATCCATTACAGATGGTGGGATGGTGGGAGTCTGGAGTTGTTTTCTTTTGTTTTGCAAACTGCTTTGGGGCAGACAGCCACACACACACATACACACACATATATATCCATAAATACACACACACACAAATAAGCAAATAACCATATCCCAGTGAAGCCTCTAGGTGGCTACCTAGTTCAGGTTTCACAGCAAAAAAGTTGACAGTAAAAATGACACAGCACTACATGCTTCCTCCATAACTAAGGATGGAAAATGGGGTTATAAGAAAATTCTGGAGGCATCCATGACCAAATAGAACTGGATACCATTGCCCAGTCCTCAACATGTCATTGTAATCAATCTTCTTAAAAGTAGAAGAATCAGACACAGCAATTTATACTAGATCACAAAAAGCCAATCAAATAAATGTTATTATGTTCATACTATATGTATCCATATATAAGTCAACCTCATGTATAAGTTGAGAGCAAGCCTTGGTACCAGACTTATGGCTTTTGATTATGTGTAGAAGGAAAAGGACCAATGCCAACCTTGGGGGTCTGCCACGCCTGGCCACGGCCACCATTTCCTTGCCCAGGGGTTAAAAATGGCACCATGGAGGAGAGAGTAGAGGATGTTGGTGCTTCTCTGAGGTTCTCCCAGGAAAGCGTAAGCTCTTTTGTTTCAACGTTCAACTCAGAAAAGGGAATGGTTCCTTTTTTAATAAGATCTAAAGTATAGCACAACCATTGATCTATGAATAAGTCAACCCAGGGTTTTTGTTTTTTTTACTAAAATTGCTAGGGTAATTACATGTTACCCTTTGGCAATCAGATGTAGCCTTCTTATAAAAATTAACTTTATTTTCTCCTATTTCCATTTGTACTTTTTAAAGTGGCAGCAGCATAGGCAGCATATGCAATTAATTGAAGAGAAATGCTACATATACAGTATGTTGTCTTTTAAAAGTTTGTGTTTCAACTGTGTATCTCTGTAGTCCATTTATGGATCTGCACTGAGAAAGTGAATCAAAGCAGTGTATAAGTTTCCAAAGGAAGAAATAACTGCAGAAAACTCAATTAAGAGAATTTCTCAGCATATCATTCTGGATTAAGACAAAAGTTACAGCAGACCTGACTTCACCAGAAAAGGAGAAGAAAAGGTAATTATCACATACAAGTACAAACTAGCTGAGCTGTGTAAATCTATAACTATGAGGTTTTGTTCGACTGCTAGAAAATCCTTTCCATTTTATAATCCACAAGTTTATTGTTTAATCCACATGTCCTCATTATTTCACACAACTAAAGTGCAATCCTTCTTTAGAGTTTCTAAAAGCTTCTGCCTTAATCACCTCAAACTGCAGACCAGCATGTAATGGTGTGTGTGATCATGGTGGGGCATCTCTGTCCCACTGACCTAAGATGGCCTGCAGAAGGTCCAGGTCTTTTGTAGGATCCAGATCACCCGCCCCAACTAAGCGAGACAGAGAGGTAGAGAGGTAGGAGGAGAGGAGAGAAGTGAGAGTTTCTGATCTCAGAAATGACAGGTTTTGTAGTGAAAAGACAATTTGAGACAATTCAATATGTGAATATTGATCATGATTCTTAGCCTAGGGTTTAAAAATCTCCGTGTTTTGATGTACCCCTGCTCCTCAAGGAATATTTCAGTCAAATGATGGAGGTATCTACTCTATAATGTAATAAGTTGAATGTGTACATTAGATAAATATGTATTGCGATGTTGTTAGATTTCCAGTTTTACCATTTGGTGCTCTGGCCATTAACGCAACTAATCTACCTCTTAGAGGTTGGTTTGAGAAACCAAATGGAACTCAGTCATCTTCTTGAAAATACTAGCTGAAATCAAGGGAGACAGAACCTTTGCTATCTCCAATCACTCCTAAGTGAAAGCTATTTTTCTTTCTCATCTCACTGATTTTT